ATATGCTCTATCTCCATATATATATGGAGAGAGAGAGAGAGCAACATATAATTATATATTCTTTATCAACATATTAAATATTTATATAATTATACATGTAATATAAATATATATGTAAATCAATGATATATGTGGAAACTCATAGTTACCTTTATGAGTTGGATTTATATCCTATTCTACCAAGAGGTCTAGTTAAAATGGAGGAATGAGAAAACAGCAAATATGATAATGAGAATATATATATTCAATGACTAATTATATCTATGGCTCCATGTAACCAAGGCTTACCACATAATGTAGTCTCATCCATATATATATGTATATATATGTATGTATATATATGTAATATATGTCATATATATATATGTAACATATATAATATATGTATATAAAATCAGTGGATGGTTAGTCACTGAATACACACACACACACACACACACACACACACACACACACACACATATTCCCTGTTGCCAAGGCTGGCCTCAAACTCATTCTGTAGTCTAAGATGACCTTGGACTTCTGATTTTTTTGCCTTCACTATTTGAGTGCTGGGATTACAGGTATATGTACATCTATACTTGCTTGTATGTGGTGCTGGGAACTGAACCCAGGGCTTCAGAGATGCTAGGCAAACATTCTACCAATTGAGCTACATCTTCATCCCTATTATCTGTTGATCTAAAACACAAATAGATGTATTTAGAGACTATCTTCTTGTCATGTGCTCATCCAGAAATTTATGGAACCATGAAAAAGTCAAAGCAAATGACTTTTTTAGAAACTTTCTGGGCTCCTGGGCAGACAGACTGTCACACTGCACCTCACAGCTTGTCCTGAGCAGACTGACTGCCACACTGCACCTCACAGCTTGTCCTCTCTCCCTTGGCTCCCCAGGAGCCTCTCATACTGCTCTTCAGATGGGTGTAGTATGTCTCTAAGAGGTATTAATTGATGACTTTAGACTACCAGAGCCATGAAGAGAGGACGGTGACCATAAGGCAGACCCTGAAAGGCTAGTTTGTGCACTTTCACAAAGGATTCAGCCTTTGACCAAAGACAGCACATGTCTGCCTTTGCTTCATCATAGCTTACATGCTCAGTTCATATCGACTCTAACATGAGGTACATATGATAGGTCAAGGAATGACTCTTATTTTACATGGCGATTTGTTGGCCATTGAATTCAGACTCTAGAGTTTTAATCAATCTGTATTTATTAATTGGTATGGAATATGTCTTTGTCTGAATATTAGTTTTGCTTTTAGTCATTTAGGCTGTCTCCCATTGCTGAGATAAGAGAGCCTTCAGTGAGAGGGATGCTTGTTGTTACAGATGCTTTTATAGTATGTGTTTTAATCTATTGAGGATGGGATTCCAGAAGTAATTGCCATGTGTTCAGATCTGTGCATTGAAGCCTCTGATGGATTCAGGCTGGCACAGGAGCAGGTTGAAGAATAGGTACTCAAAACGAGTGACGGGGCTTAGGAAAGAAAACAAAGATCCGATGTCATTGCTGGAACATGATTAGTCTCATTTTGCTCCTTTAAAACTTATTCTTTAGTTTGGAAGTTGGTCACTTCCTCATTTGGAGGAGGAATGTGCTGGAAGGAATGAAAATGAGAACAGCACTGTGAATGGAGACAATAGCATGGCCTGTCCCCATAATCACTGCAGAGGAAACCCATTTGTTTGGCAAGCCTTGATTCTCCTGGGGACCGTCAGTTTCATTGATTCCTGTGGTCTCTGGGGGCCCATCTTAATATTTCTTCTTGGCTGGTCATCAGCTAGTTTTTAAAAAGGGAAGTCCTTAACCAAGCAAGCAGAGACTGTGAAAACTAATGGAGTACATTTAAAGGGGCAGGTGTCCTTGGCAAGGTGACTATCCAAAGCCTTGTCTCTATGCTTACCTTTGGAAAATTTGACTCATCTTTATTTATAACCTTTGATCAGAACCAACACGTGAATAGAGCCTGCTTGCTTCAAGTAGCCAACCTAAATCTCCTCCAGGCAGAAGACGGTTTGTGAAAACATATTAAGCATCATTAGATATAGTTTGGAGCTGGAACGACTTCTGTATGATTTAAAGCTCTTCATGCTGAATCATGGGGACCAGAGTTTGGATCCCAGCATCCTCTAAACAAGCTGGGGGGAGGAAAGACAGCCCATCAACACTGTAACTCCACCCCCAGTGCTCTCTTCTGATATCCATGCACACAGGTGTACTCACCTGCACACATATTGCACATTGACTCACAGACACAGAAACACAGCTAAAATATGTAAATATAAAAAGAAAAGATACACTGTTAGGGAAGCTGGGTGAAAGGGAACAAGTTGGATTTTTCTTATTTTCGAAGTAGGTTGTTGAGTGCTGCAGGCCACATCGGGTAGGGCGGACATTTTAGTTGTCTCCACCCTGAGCCTCACGGTAGCCTTAAGAATGAAGCCATGCGTATGTATCAAATAGCAACTATCGCTGTGAATCTATGTGGCCTTGGATAAGATCCTGTTACCCACTCTTGAACCACAACTTCCTTACCTGCAAAATAAGGGAGACTACCGAGAAAACCCATGTCAATACTCCTGAGGTCCATGCATTGTCCGCTGTTACTCTTCTCTGGCTCTTGGGTAAAGACGGTACATATGTTTCTGGGAAATACTTTTCAAAATGACTTCAGCCTCATTTATTTCCTTTATTGCACCATAGTCTCAATCAGATAATAAAACGGAAACCGTAAGTAGCCATCTCTTTAAATGGTTTCTTGAAGATATAGTATAAATAAAACTATATTCGTTTCAATAAATCAAGTTATTTTGTCCACACTTTCTGTTGCATTCTAAAACCTCTTCCACTGATGGTGGATTTAGTGGATGTGTTCTCTTCCTCCTCCAATCGAGAATTCCTATGAATAAACTGATTCTTATAGTTGGGAACCTTAGCACATAAAATGAGATTCTAATATCAACCCTGGAACCTAGAGACCGGGACAGGACTGGATAATCAAAGTCCTGAGCTCGTGACATAGGAGCTCCAAGGGAAATCCCCACCACCATTTGATCCTTACTGAGGTGCTCCTTCCTCGATGGGCTTGGGTTTGAAGAGAAGCTCTCCTCCTTCTTCTCTTCCTTACCTCACCTGATCTCTCCTTCCATCACTGCAACCCAGTTGGCTGATAGTTTTGCTTCCTCACAAAACAGAAGTATTCAAGTAGTGGTTCAGACTCCCATTTTGTCTTTGTTCTTTTCCTTGGGTCTAGAACAGTGCCAGGTACACAGTGGGTGATATTTATTTAACAACTGACTCTTTAAAGTAATTCTTGCTCGCTCAAGTCCCTCGGAAGCCGAAAATGTGTGTGTGTGTGTGTCAGTAATGTTGGTAGTTACTGTGAGCAGTGTTGTCTTGTGGGTTTGGCACCTAATTCAGTATTCGGTCTTTGAAGTGAGTTGTGAGTCTCTTGACTTTATTAGTGGTATTAACCCAGCACATGGAGGGAAGGTGGGTGAAGTGTTCTGTTTGGTGCTGGCCTGGGGAATGCGGCTCATCTCTCCAAACTTGCTGTGCTTTCAGCCTGTCCGCCTGCCCACTGGGGTCCGAACTGCATCCACACCTGCAACTGCCACAATGGAGCCTTTTGCAGCGCCTATGACGGGGAATGCAAATGCACTCCTGGCTGGACGGGGCTCTACTGCACCCAGAGTAAGCAAGGGGCCTGCTGGAGTTCAGCAGGGGGAGCCAACCCATGGAGGAAATAGCCTCCCTGTTTGTGCGTATCATGTTACGTCAGTGAGGGCTCCTTTAATGTGTTTGCCATCTACTTGACGACCTCTCCATAACTACCTTTGTCTGAGAGTGTAAGAACCCCACATTCCAGGTATCCTCATATCAGGACATTGAGGCAGAGCAAGCACTGTGTGCAATTCATTCCTAATGTGTATCTGAGTTCCCTTTTCTCTTTTCCACCAGACTGTATTTATGCATGAAACGCTTTTATTTCTTCCAACTCTACAAATATGAGAATAGATGACAGGGATTTAGAAGTCAGTAGAGACAGACACGCACCTCACTGCTTGGCTGACTGTGTGCTCACAGAGAAAACGAGGTTTACCTACAGGAACCAACCAACTCCAAATGCCCAGCCCACATCCCACAGTGTCTGATTCAGTGCATCTGGACCAGGACCTGTGAATTTGCATTTCTGTCCATTGGTGGTACTATTAGCCCAGGATCATGCTTTTAAAAACATTACTGTAGTTCTTATTCCTAGCCTGTATCTCATGCCTCCCTTTATCTAACCCCATGTGGTGCTTGGCTGTTTAGCATCACAACATGCAATGTGCAAACACGTATGGCAGAAATGCCATACTGCTTTCAGCTGAATCACGGAAACAAGCATTTATTAAGGATAGTATCAATAATAACATAACTTCAAAGAATAGCCATGCCGAAGAAAAAATGATGAGTTAGAAAGTAGGTAACTCCCATTTAATACTAATTTGTAAATAATTCTATTTACAAATATTCTAATTATAAATATTTACATATATTCTAGAGAATAGCAGGAAGGAGACTTCTAGAAACTTCTAGGATGAGGGATGACTGTTGGCCTAAGATCTGAAAGACAGAACTGCAAGGACAAATTAGCATCCATAAAGGTGCTAGAACTCCTTAGAAGGGAAGCACACTTAGGTCACTTATAATTCTAAAGTAGGGGCTACTTTAAGCAGAGGAACCTTTTAAAGTGAACAAAGCAGGACACAGTGGGACCTGCATGGGGCTGGTCTTACCCAGCCCTCCCTGCCTGCCATCCTGGCATTCACCAGCTGTGTGACTTGGGATACTCAGGGCTTAGCTGTTGTCTGTAGCATAGTAGAAGAACTACCCCTGTAATGTTAGGGCACTAAAGAGTAATGACAAAATGAAAGGAAAAAGTCCAGGACAGAGCAGGTGTCAGACAAATATATGGTATGGGGCTGCCACTGTGTGCTGCCATCTGAGACCTATGTGTCATTCCTGCTTCTGAAAATTCAAGCTTTCCTTAAAAGGCAAAATAAAGTCATGGACAGAATTTAGAAACAACTGACAAATCTGCCTGTATTGATGCTTTTGTCCTGCCTTAAGCACTCCTGCAGAGCAGCTGCTGACCCATGAAAGCCAAGAGAGCTTGTGTGTGTGTGTGTGTGTGTGTGTGTGTGTGTGTGTGTGTGTGTGTGTGT